GCTGGGACTGCAGGCGCCGCCACCACACTCGGCTAATTTTTTTGTATTTTTAGTACAGACGGGATTTCACCACGTTAGCCAGGATGGTCTCGATCTCCTGACCTTGTGATCCACCCGCCTTGGCCTCCCAAAGTGCTGGGATTACAGGCGTGAGCCGCCGCACCCGGCCATAATTTTTGTACTTTATTGGTAGAGTCAGGGTTTTGCCATATTGGCCAGGCTGGTCTCGAACTCCTGACCTCAGATAAGCCGTCTGCCTCTGCCTCCCAAATCGCTGGGATTGTGTGAGCCATCATGCCTGGCTGCAGCCTTTTCTTGTTTCTTTTTTTTTTTTTTTTTCAGATAGGTTCTCTGTTGTTTTTTTTTTTTTTTTACGCTAGAGTGCAGTGGCATGATGTCTGCTCACTGTAGCCTCAACCTCTTAGGCTCAAGTGATCCTCTCACCTCAGCCTCCCTATTAGCTGGCATTACAGGCTTATGGCCCACACTGGCTAAATTTTTATTTTGATTTTTTATTTATTTTTTTTTCTGAGAGTCTTGCTCTGTCACCCAGGCTGGAGCGCAGTGGCACAATCTCTACTCACTGCAACCTCTGCCTCCCCGGTTCAAGTCATTCTCCTGCTTCAGCCTCTCGAATAGCTGGAATTACAGGTGCGCACCATCATGCCCAGCTAATTTTTGTATTTTTAGTAGAAATGGGGTTTCCCCATGGTGGCCAGGCTGGTAATTTTTTATTTTTTGTAGAGGCAGGATTTATTCTGTTGCTCTGTATGGACAGGAAGCTTAGTTTGTTTCTCTGATCGTTAGTCCCCTGCAGAATTTTAACGCAATTCGGTATTGAGGACACTTTCTGTTGCGTGAGACAATATTCCAGATCTCTCTGGGTCCTTCCTGGATTCAAGGGATCCTCCTGCCTTGGCCTCCCGAGTAGCTGGGACCACAGGTGTGCGTCACAACCCAAGGTCTCTAGCACAAGCCTTGTTCTCCCATCCCCAGACTCGGGAGACTGTGCAGCCACACACCGGGGGAGGGTTCCAGACATCACGGTGGGGCGGGAGTGACACCACCGGGGCAGGGAGGGCCAGGACGTTGCTCACGCTGGCTGGTGGCCCCTTGGCATTGGCCACACACACTCTACCCACGGGAATCTCACTCAAGGGTTTGATGGGCCAGCTTCTGTCTCCACCACCGTCCAGACGCCTCCGGGGTGAGTGGGAGGCCGCAGCCCTGGCTGGGTGAGCAGAGCCGCCCGTGTGTGTGGCCGCTTGTCCTTTCTCACCGCGGTCCACGTGGAAGCCAGGGCAGAGGAGGGTCCTGCCCACTGCACCCCCCGCCCCCAGCAACCCCCACCGTGGCTGCACACATCTCGCTTCCGGACAGTTTTCTTGGCCCATACCCTGAGAGTTTCTTTCTTTTCTTTTTTTTTTTTTTTGAGACGGAGTCTCGCTCTGTTGCCCAGGCTGGAGGCGGTGGCGCCATCTCGGGCTCACTGCAAGCTCCGCCTCCGGTTTACGCCATTCTCTGCTCAGCCTCCCGAGTAGCTGGGACCACAAGGCGCCCACCACCGTGCCCGGCTAGTTTTTTTTTTGTATTTTAGTAGAGACGGGGTTTCACTGTGTTAGAAAGGATGGTCTCATCTCCTGACCTCGTGATCCGCCTGCCTCAGCCTCCAAAGTGCTGGATTATTCTTTCTTTTTCTTTTTTTTTTTTTTTGAGACGGAATCTTGCCTGTGTCGCCCAGGCTGGAGTGCAGTGGCCGGATCTAGCTCACTGCAAGCTCTGCCTCCGGGTTTTGCGCCATTCCCCTGCCTCAGCTCCGTGTAGTGGACTACAGGTGCCCACCATGTTGCCGGCTAGTTTTTTGTATTTTTTTAGTAGAGACGGGGTTTCACCGGGTTGGCCAGATGGTCTCGATCTCCTGACTGTGATCCGCCCGCCTCGGCTCCCAAAGTCTGGGATTACAGCTTGAGCCACCACGCCCGGGTCTTTTTTTTTTTTTGAGTCAAGAGTCTTGCTCCTGTCGCCCAGGCCGGAGTGCAGGGGTGCGATTCTCCTGCCTCGGCCTCCAGAGTAGCTGGGACTAAGGCGCCTGACCACGCCCGGCTAATTTTTTATTTTTTGATAGAACGGGGTTTTCACCATATTGGCCAGGCTGGTCTTGAACTCTTGACCTTGTGATCCACCTGCCTCAGCCTCCAAGTGCCGTGATTAAGTGTGAGCCACTGTGCCCAGCTGGGAGTTTATTTCTTAGATGTATGTTACTTCAGCCGAGGCTCCTGTGTGCCTCTGTTTCATGGCCTTTGAGCGTCGCCCTCCTTTACTGAACGTGGGTCCTGAGTGCAGGGACGGTGCAGGTCAGGTGTTCAGGCCAAGTGTCCAGCGGGGGGCTGATTCTAGGCATAGCAGGTCCTCTTCGCCTGCCCTGCCCTGGACCCTCTCTTGGGCCCACTTTTCTGGGGTAAATTTCAGGCCCATGGCAGTTGGGGCCCTAGTGTGGGTCAGGCCCTCAGCTGGTGCTGCTTCGGCCCGGGCTGAGTCCTTCGTTTCTTCCTTTGTGGGTTCACTGTTGAAAGCTTTGCGTCAGTGGGACTCTGCTGCGGGCCTGGGTGGTGCAGGTTCGTCGGGAAGATGGGACAGGTTTCCGTTCTCATGGCGCCTCTCTCCCCTTCCTCCCGCCCGGGCAGTACTTAGGTTCTTCCTTCCAGAAAGGATTTCCCATGACTTGAAGAGCAGGCTCTCACACGCAGCCCGGAACCTGCTCAGCCTCCCCGTGGCCCTGAGCCTGTCTATGAAGGCCCGCCTCGCCCGCCAGCGGCTCCTGCCCTCCGCCTTGCTTGAGCCTTTGCCTTGTGGGCACTCACTGGCCCCGTGGTTTGCTGCTGGAGTTCAGGTGGACTCGTTGTCCTGTGAGCTCATGGTTCTTGTTCTTGTTGCCGAGGCTGGAGTACCAGTGCATGATCTCACTCATGCAAGTTCTGCTCCCAGGTTCAAGCTTCTCCTGCCTTAGCCTCCTGAGTAGCTGGGATTACAGGTGCGTGCCACCACCCGGCTAATTTTGTACTTTTTGGTAGAGACGGGTTTACATATTGGCCCAGGCTGGTTCAACCTCCTGACCTCAGGTGATTCACCCGCTCGGCTTCCCAAAGTGGCTGGGACCCAGGGCGTGAGCCACTGCGCCCGGGCTTTTTTGTTGTGTTGTTGTTGTTGTTGTTTCCACAGGGAGTCTCACTCGGTCGCCCAGGCTGGAGTGGCAGTCGGTGTGATCTCGGCTCACTGCAACCTCCACTGCTCAGGTTCAAGGCAATTCTCATGCCTCAGCCTCCCAGTAGCTGTAGCTGAGATTACAGGTGTGTGCAACCCCACTGGCCTAATTTTGGATTTTTAGTAAAGATGGGGTTTCACCATATTGGCCAGGCTGGCTCGAACTCCTGGACCTCAGGTAATCCATCTACCTTGGCCTCTCAATGTGCTGGGATTACAGGCTTGAGCCCCGTGCCGGCCTCGAGCTTGCTTTCTGCAGACTTTGATTCTCAGCGGCTAAGGACTAAGTTCCCCAGAGATGGACCTGGGGTCGTAACTGCTTCCAGGGGCCTCAGGGACACAGGTGGGACCCCGATGTGCAGGAAGAGACGCACGTCAGGGCTGGGTGGGTGACTCCACGCTGTGGGACCCCGATTGCACTCGGGGGTGGGTCACTTCCACATTGCTGACAGTGACAGGAACAAGGATGCAGCTCAGGTCAGAGTCTTTTCAAGTTAACCTTAGATCAACCCCTTCAGTGTATCACAGAAAACTGTTTTTGCTGCCAGGAAGGCGAAGGCCGTTGAGTTCACTCGGATTCCTGAGTCAGCCAGCTGTTTCTCTGAAAGTGGTTGTTGTCCCCGACCACCTGGAATGGGCGCAGACCACGGAGCTCATCTTTGGGGACCAGTCTCTCTTTTGGGCAGTGAGCCCCTTCCTTGGGAACCCCTGAGGCCAGGCATGGCCACTGTGAATGGTGGGAGGGTGCTCCACCCTGAGGACCCCAGAGGCTCCTGTGGCCCCTTCCTGGGACGCTGGGCCTGTGTGTGGTCAGCGTTCGCCCAAGGCCCCCTTTCAGCTGGGCTGGATGCGAGTGCCTTCAGGCCTCATCCTGCCCTCCACCGTCCTGTAGGCAGTGAGGCTATGGCACCTCCCTCCTCGACTGTCTTGCCCTGTGGTCTTGTATCAGTGTTTTCCAGCCCGATTGCTGCTGAGCTTCATTTCTTTTTCTTTTTGAGACAGAGTCTTGCTCTGTTACCCAGGCTGGAGTACCAGTGTCACAATCTTGCTCACTGCAACCTCAGCCTCCCGAGTAGCCGGGATTACAGGCATGTGTCACCACGTCTGTCTAATCTTTGTATTTTTAGTAGAGACGGCGTTTCTCCATGTTGGCCAGGCTGGTCTCGAACTCCTCGACCTCAGGTGATCCGCCCACCTCGCCTCCCAAAGTGCTGGGATCACAAGTGTGAGCCGCCGGCCCGGCCTGAAGCTTCCTTTCTTTGGGTTTCCAGTGTTCCTGACTTGTGGCTGAGCTAGACTTGGGACTTGGTTTCTGGGGTTTGCTTTGCCTGTGCTGAGGGCGGAGGTTTCAGAGCCAGCATCACTGCCTGGGAGCAGAGGGCGGAAGGAGGATCCGCCTGCGGACACACAGTGACTGAGGCCAAGGGCAGCTCGGGGCCCCGCCAGCGGCAAGGGAAGAGGTCTGGGTAGACGGCTTTCAGATGCTGGGGGGAGGGATGGGGGCGTCCTGCAGGCCTTGGGTCTTTTTGCAGAGTTGGGGGCTCAGCGAGGAGCAAGCGCCTGCCGTCGCCCGCTTTGTTTTCTGTGGGACCTGCTAGGACAGTGAGGCCCCTGGCTCACCAGGGCATGGCTCACCCCCTACAGCTGTCCAGGCCTGCGTCCCAGCTGCCCCTGCTGTGGGGCAGGGAAGGGGCTGGGTGTCGAGGACACAGGCACTTGTACAGATGCCTTTTCTCTGACATTCCTTAACTCCCATGTGTAGCTATACACAGAATGGGATTTTACATATGCTGGACAGAAATAAGAGAATCAAGCCCCGACCAGAAGGTTCCAGAACTGCAAAGACCTGTTTGATCTGATCCTCACTTGCGAAGAGAGAGTGTATGACCAGGTGGTGGAAGGTGAGGAGGTGGCTTGCTGGGCTGGGCCCCAGCAGCTCTCACAGGGTCTGGGGATGCCTGCAGGGCCCCACCCTGACCAGCACAGCCCATCTAGAGCGGCCGGGGGCGGGGCCAGACCTGTGTGCAAAACACCCTGGGGGCAGGCAGGGCCGCTGGTCACTGACCACCCGTGTGCTGGCTGCGGCCTTTCATGGGCTTTGAGGGGCCTGTTTTTTGTTTGGTGTTTTTTTTGTTTGTTTGTTTGTTTTTTTTTTTTTGAGGCGGAGTCTCGCTCTGTCTCCCAGCCTGGAGTGCAGTGGCGTGATCTCGGCTCAGTGCAAGCTCCGCCTCCCGGGTTCCCGCCATTCTCCTGCCTCAGCTCCCGAGTAGCTGGGACTACAGGCGCCGCCACCCACCCCCGGCTAATTTTTTTTTTTTTGTATTTTTTTAGTGGAGACGGGGTTTCATTGTGTTAGCCAGGATGGTCTCGATCTCCTGACCTCGTGATCCGCCCGTCTCGGCCTCCCAAGTGCTGGGATTACAGGCTTGAGCCACCGCGCCCGGCCAGTGTTTTTTTTTTTTTTTTTTTGAGACAGAGTCTTGCTCTGTCACCCAGGCTGGAGTGCAGTGGCGCGATCTCAGCTCACTGCAGCTCCGCTTCCCGGGTTCAGTGATTTTCCTGCCTCAGCCTCCCGAATAGCTGGGACTACAGGTGTGAGCCAACACACCCAGCTAATGTTTGTATTTTTAGTAGAGACAGGGTTTCACCATGTTGGCCAGGATGGTCTTGAACTCTGACCTCAAGTGATCCACCCGCCTTGGCCTCCCAAAGTGCTGGGATCACAGGCGAGAGCCACCGCACGGGGTCCATTTTTCACGTGGGTCGACCCTCGAGCTGGCGTGGAGCAGGAAGGGCTGGTCTTTAATGGCGGGAAGGGCTGCAATGCCAGCTGCGCTTCACTCCAGGACTGGCTGGTGGGTGGGGAGTCCCAGACCAGCTTTTGCTGAGTTGGAGATTTGCTGAGGTTTCCTCGAACCATCAGCTGCTTTCGGTTTGAGGCTCAGTCTTTGTGCTCCCCAATCTGCAGAGTCCAGAAACCACTGGGCTGGGCTGGGCCAGGGGCCGGCAGAGCCAGGGACTCAGCCACATTGACTGCCTGTTCCCTGGTTCTGGAGCCTCTGACGTCTGTGTCACCTTGTCCCAATCAGATCTGAATTCCAGAGAACAGGAGACCTGCCAGCCTGTGCACGTGGTCAATGTGGACATCCAGGACAACCACGAGGAGGCCACCCTAGGGGCATTTCTCATCTGTGAGCTCTGCCAGTGTGTGAGTACCCGGTGGGCGCCCTGTGGAGCCGAGGCTGTGACAGAGGGGCGTGGCCGAGGCCGTGACAGGGACGTGGCTGAGGCCGTGACAGAGGGGCGTGGCCGAGGCCGTGACAGGGACGTGGCTGAGGCCGTGACAGAGGGGCGTGGCCGAGGCGTGAGAGGGGCGTGGCTGAGGCCTTGACAGAGGGGCGTGGCCGAGGCCGTGACAGAGGGGCGTGGCCGAGGCCTGAGGCTGGCCCTGCTGCTTGGGGCGGGGTCTCTGCTCAGCTCGCTTGTGTCAGGGGTGCCCGCTGGTAGTTTAGAGAGAGTCACTCCCCAGCCTTGGCACAGGAGCCCCCCCGCCCATGCCCTCTGCTCAGCGGAGACGTGCTGCGCAGTGACCTGCCCAACACGGGCTTAGTCCGCCTCCCAGGACACAGGCTCCAGGGAACGCCCGGTACTTTGCCTCTTCCCCTTGGTGGACACAGCCCTGCTTCAGCGAGCAGAGCACGGAGCTCTCCTGGGTGTGGTGCGGTCGGAGATGTGCCCCACGTGAGCCTGGAGGCTGCCAAGGGCGCTGTGTCCGCCGTCCACCCCGGACTTGGCCTTCTGCACACCTGCCTTCCCCCGTGGGCCCTGCGTGTCCCCCTTGCACAGAGGGGCCAGGGGCACCCCAAGGCTTCTGTCGCCACCCTGCTGTGGCATGGAGGGGCTGGGCTGAGATGAAAGGACCTGCCTGCGGAGAGCCCCACGCACCGTCCCGCCTCTGCCTCTGTGATCTGTGATTTGATCAACTGTGAAAAACAGGACAGCTTCACCGAGAGCAAACGGTGTTGGAAAGCCCGGGAGCCAGGCGGGCCGGCGCTGGGAGAAGCTGCCGTGTGGCTGCAGGCGCCTGCGCTCTGCCCACCAGCGTGGCTTCTGGTCCCCGCATGCCTCCCGGTCCGGCGTGGATGTTGAAGCGCCAGGGATGGTCTTCACGATCGCCTGGCAGGAGAAAAGGCCACGGGGAAAGTCTCGTCCCAGAAGTTGTTGTGTGATTTCCGCTGGGGTCACGTTGGCCAGAGCTGAGTCACAGGCCACTCCCTGCTTAGAGGCACTGGGTCTGTCCCCGGTTGGGGACCAGGGTCAGTGGAGATGGCGAGTAACGAGCTGCCAGTGCCAGGGCAGGTGTGCTCAGCCAGGGCTCTGGTGGACGGAGGCCAGGATGCTGCCAGGACGCTCCAGTGACCAGGCTGCCCCCACCACAGGGGCATGGGTCAGGGTCCTCTCTGGGTCTCTGGGCACCGCACCTTTCCCTGCCCCCGTTTGCTCGTTGGCGGTGCGGGCGCGCTGGTGGTGAGGGCTGGTCGGCCCCGCTGTGCGCGTGCGGGGCCCGAGTCCTGGCCTCCAGGTCTCCAGTGCTGGCGCCTCTCAGAATCCAGCTCCACGCTCCTCCCAGCTTCAGGTTCTGTGAGGGTCGGTGGGGAGGTGGGGGCTGCCTCCTGCTCTACACCAGGTGAGGGCCTGGGGCTGCCCAGGAAGCTCTCCCCTTGCAGCCTCCAGCCATCCTTGGGAGGCAGCAGTGGTGGGGTGAGGGGCTGCCCGCCACCCTGGTTTTTGCTGGCTCAGGCCTGGCGTTTCCCTGGCGGTCCAGGTGTTGAGGGGGAGCAGGACAGGCGGGAGTGGGCAAGGCCCTCACCACGGTGCTGTCCTTGCAGATCCAGCACACGGAAGACATGGAGAACGAGATTGACGAGCTGCTGCAGGAGTTTGAGGAGAAGAGTGGCCGCACCTTTCTGCACACCGTCTGCTTCTACTGAGCCCAGCGCCCGCCTGGAGCCGCCTCTGGAGCTTCCTGTTCATACTTTTTCCTTCCTGACATTGGTTTTTACTTACAGGTGTTCCGCTGGTGACGGTAGCATTGCCCAAATAAAACTGTGCATATGAAATGGGAGAGGAGATGCCAGAAGGCCAGATTAAAGCAATCAAGTTTTTTCTTTCCCACTTTTACTTATGAGCGGGATATTGATTATAAAGTTTTCTTCTTTAACCAGAAAGGAAAGACGGTTTGTGTGCACTTCCCGACGTACCTGTGTCTCCATGTGCCTGCCTTCCCTCCCTCCTCCCCACCCGGCTGGACTGTACACAGCCCTGCTGCGGCGTGTTGGGAATGACCTGGAATTGTCAATAAACAGATGCTGCTGTCATTGTGCCTGGTCCTGAATTCCTGACCCGACCTCGCGCCTGAGAAGGTGGCAGAGGCCCTGCCGCCTTCAGTGACCTCCGACCACTGCTAGGGGGTGTAGCTCAAACCTGGTGCTGCTGACAGGGCCTGGGCCAACCCCTGCCTGTGCTGCTTGAAGCAGAAGCCGGCCGCTCCTTCCAGCACTGCTGCCTGTGGCAGGGCGGTGTCCCCTCTCCACGTGGAAACCCCCGGGCCGGGATCAGCTGTCCCCCAAGGCCAGCTGAGCCGGGAGGATTGAGGCTGCAGTGAGCCTGGATGGCCCCAGTCCCAGGCTGGGTCCCAGGCATAGCTTCCCGCTGACTTCCTGCTCGAAGGGAGAGGGTGGCTTCCTGGGTCTGAAACATGGTCTCACTAGTTGTGGATGAGAGTTTGGCCTCAGGACCCTGAGCCAGGAACGGCCAGAAGCTGAGTGGTGGCCACTTGGGGCCTCTGAAGGGCAGGTGTCCTGACCCATAGGCCTGGGCTGACCCCTCTTCCCTGCCCTAAGGGAAGCCTGTGTGAGGTATCCCTGCCCACAGCTCCTGCGCCGCTTCTCTCCATTGAGGATTCCAGAGGTCATCCCGTCCCTGCCCTGTGACCCCCATCTCTGGCCCCACGGCGGTGAGGTTGTCACGACCTTGCAGACCCCACCCTGGAGGCATGTGCTTTCCAAGCGGGCTGGTGCAGCCCCGCAGCCGGCGACCTGGGATTCCAGGAGGGAGGGCGGCGCAGTGGGGCGGGGAGGGCCTCGGCGCCCCTCCAGGACCGGATCGTGTTGGGACTGGCGTCCAGGGTCACTGGACAGGCCACCGGGGCTGGGTCTGACCAGACTGGGGCGGGGCACGAAGCCGAGGTTCCCGGAGAGGGGTCCCGGCCGGCGTCCTGGGGGTGGCGGTCCCCTCCCGGCTCCGGTGCTGGCACGGGGCGGCCTGCGGGCTGCGCGGTCCCTCCCGGGAGGCGGAGGAAGGCGGCGAGGAGGGAGGAGGGAGGAGGAGGCAGGGAGGGGGCCGGAGCCGAGCAGAGCCGAGCCGAGCCGAGCCGAGCGGAGCGCGGGAGGACCGAGGGCGGAGCGGAGCGCGGCGGGCAGGGCCGAGCGACCCCAGAGAGGCCCCGCGTCCCTCCTCGGTGCCCCCCCGCGCCTCCTCCTCCCGGCCGGCGCCGGGGTTGCCGCGAGCGGCGGCGGAAGACCCAGGGAAGCGCTGACCTCTGCGGAGGCGGCGGGGGCTCAGCATCGGGCCGGGGCCGGGGGGCGCCGGGGCCGGGGGGCGGCGCTCCGGCCCGGCCCGGCCCCGCCCGATGTCCATGAGCGCGAACACCATGATCTTCATGATTCTGGGGGCGTCGGTCGTGATGGTGAGCGGAGGGGCTTCCCGCGCGCGCCCCCTGCTCCCCGCCCGCGCGCGCCGCCTGCCCCCACCTCCTGCTCCTTGTTTACCGCCCGTGCGGCCTGCGCTCCCCTCCCCGGCCTGCGCTCCCCCGAACCCGACCTGCGCTCCCCTCCCCAGCCTGCGATCCCCACACCCCCTGCGCTCCCCTCCCCGGCCTGCGCTCCCCCCACCCCGGCCTGCGCTCCCCCCACCCGGCCTGCGCTTCCCCTTCCCGGCCTGCGCTTCCCCTCCCGGGCCTGCGCTCCCCCAAACCCGGCCTGCGCTCCCCTCCCCAGCCTACGCTCCCCTCACCCCGGCCTGCGCTCTGGCTCCCCGCCTGCGCTGCCCCGACCCCGGCCTGCGCTGCCCCCACCTGCCCTGCGCTCCCCACCCCCAGCCCCCGTTCGTCCCGCCTGCTCCTTGGCGCTGACCGGTCATGGCTCTTCCAGGCCATCGCGTGCTTGATGGACATGAACGCGCTGCTGGACCGATTCCACAACTACATCCTCCCGCACCTGCGGGGCGAGGACCGCGTCTGCCACTGCAACTGTGGCCGGTGAGTCCGCAACCGGCGCCGGCTCGACACGCGTGAGCGCACATGTGTGGCGGGGCCCACTCGGGGCGCGGGGGAGCCAGCCCCACGCAGGCCGCGATCCGCCTTCCACCCTTGAGGGCTGCCAGGTGCGCAGGGGAGGAGCTGGCTCAAGGAGGGGGTCTCCTGGGGGCGCATGGCTTGAGGACACCATCCCCTAGAGGCCTCCAGGGTGATGGCGGAATGGGTCACGGGGCCTCCTGGTCCAGCCTGGAGGCCGGGAAGCCGCAGCCCAGTCTGATGTCCACAGTGGAGACCCAAGCCAGCCTCATCAGGGCTGGGGCAGGAAGCGCCTGCTGGCACAGGGCTGGGCCCTGCAGTGAGTCCCAGGGCAAGGGAATGCAGGTCAAGGTGGGAAGGGCCTGCCTTGAGGGATACTGGCACAACCCCCTGGCTGGAGAGGAGCTGAGGGACGGGCTGGGGGTCAGCGGGGAGGCGAAGCTTCCTCAAGGTCACTGAGATTGAGGGGAGCGCCCAGATCCCCCACACCCACTGTGTGATCCCCTCTGTGCACGTGTAGTGATGGAATCTTCTTGGCCATGCATGTTTGTACGTCCATGTACGAAATAAACATCTTCTCATGAGACGCGCATGTGTGTGGCGTCTGTGCATATATACATGTGCGTACACACAGCGCCCGCGCACGCACGCATGCACTCCCATCCCTCAGGACACCCTCACGCAGTGGCCGCTGTTAACCCTGCTGGACAGATGAGGAAGTGGACGGAGGATTTAGAGGACAGGCTTTTCCAAGGTCACACAGCTAGTGAAGGACAAAGGGGCACCAACCCAGAACCCGTGTTCGTCATCTCTGCTGCCTCCTGCTCCGGGGGTCTCTGTGCATACGTGTGGGCGCAGGGCATGTGTGTTCAGGACAGCTGCATGTGTTGCTAAGCGTGTTACATGCCTATGGGTGCAGCAGGTGTGTTGATGAAGAACACGGGTGTTAGAGAAGGCAGAGATCGGGGTGTCTGTGACCCTCACGTGTGCCGGGCACAGGGTGGGGGGTAAGAGCTTGTGGGGTGGCCACGTGCTACCAGGGAGCCCTGTGTCCCTGTCTGGACGGTCCGACTGCTGAGCAAAGGCCTGAGGTTGGCTCCATGGCCTCCTGGAGGCTGGGCCCAGACCGGAGCTCCAGGGCATCAGAAGGGGCGGCCTCCGTGTGCGTGGGCTGGGGCCGTGTGCATCCACCTGTGGCAGCACACTGAGGGATCGGCAGGGCAGGCAGAGGGCGCCTTAGAGCATTTGCACAAGGCGTGTAGGTGCAGCTCATGCAGCTCATGTCGTGTCCAGAGCACGCGTGGACTCAGGTGGAGTGCGTGCTGAAGGCAGCTGGTGTGTGGGAAGCAGAGCCACAGCCTGCTGTAGACGGTACTGCTGTGTGTGTGTCTGTGTATCTATGCTCTGTTCACATCTCTACATACAGAATATGTACATTCAGCGTACAAAGTGCCCTTGTATATTGACAACATATATGTGTATGCAAAGTACATGTATGTCACAATATACAGTGCAGTGTGCTCAGGGACATGTCAAAATGTCTCCATGTGGGTGCAGCCAGTGTGTGTGCAGACAACCGTTTTGCACATGGAGTATCTGCGTATACACCATGTCCATGCACTGCCATGAGAGGCTCCCCGTGTGTACACGCTGGTGTGCAGAACGGGTGTGTGTACATGTGTAGGCCTTGTACGTGCCTATACGTAGACGTTGACATGGAGAACGTGTATGGAAATCAATGCTCCAAAGTCTGTTGCCAGGCAGCGTCCAAATGAGACATCCGTCCATGCACGTGACGTGGCGCCCCGGGGAGAGGGCGGCTGCGTTTTGCAAAGCCAAGCGAACATGCACTCGCGTGTGACACACCGTGCACAGGGCGGGGGTGTGGAGCTCCTGGGGTCCATGTCCACAGTATCACGCCATGTCCTGTGCATGTGGCTGGTGTGTATACATGACGTACATTGGGCCTCAGGTGGACACATGCAGCATGTGTGGTGCAGGCAGGACACACGTATGTACATGTCACAGACATACGTGTGCAGATAGCACATCTCTGCCCAGGCCTGTCTCCTGCTTTCACTTGGGAGACCTGAGCCCCCCAGGAAGGAGGGCCAGGTGCAGGGGGAGAAACTACAGGTACCCAGGACAGCCATGGCGGGGGACACAGGCTGTGACCTCTGACTCCCAAAGTTACTGAGCCCCTGGGGTGGGTGAGGACTCAATCAGGGGTCAGGAGCAGCTTCCTCCCCTGCGGACCTCTGGCAGCTGCACATTCTAGGCAGTGGCCATCAGCTGCCCATCGAGGATGATGGCTGTGGACAGGCTCGTCACCAGGTGATTGGTGGCCACCAGGGATCAGCCACGGTCATGGTCACTCCTCACCGAGAGCCCTGCCACTGGGAGTGGCCAGTTGCCCGATATGCTGAGGGGACTGACCTCCGGGAAGCCCAGAAGAGCAGGAAGGCTTCAAGGAGAGCCTGGGGCAAGGGCCGCCTCCTCCCTGTGCCTGGGCTCAGGCTCCAGGACCCCCAGATCTCACGGAGGGCAGGCACCTGTGTGGCCCCTGCTGGGCACAGGGATGGCCTGGAGCGGGCTACAAGGCCCTGGGTTGGACGGATAGGCCGGGCTTTCAGTGTGGGAAGTGCTCTGGTTGGGGTGTGGAGCGTGGGGTGGTCTCTGGGTCTCAGCTGAAAACCAGGCCAAGGCACTGGTACTTCACCGAGGGGAGGTGGGGGAGAGGCAGGTTTGGGGAGAGAGGAGCTATTTTTAGGCACAAGTTTAAGGTGTCTGTGGATCCCACGTGGAGACACAGGCAGCTGGAGCTCAGCGGAGATGTGGGAGGCAGCCAGGAGTGTGGACCGCAAGGCGCCTGGGGCCCACGGCCTCCACTCCCAGGCCCTCGTGTTGGCCTAGGGATCCCAGAGTCGGCTGTCTGGGATGCCAGGTCCGATCAGCAGAGTCAGCCCACCTGGGATCATGGGGCCTGGAGACCTTCTTGGGACAGGGTGAGCTGCTGGAGCGTGC